CCACCCCACCCCACCCCCCTACCCCCCTACGCGTCATTTTTCCCGTCATTGTTGTTGTCATCATCGGGGGGGCCCGAACCCAACCAATCCAGCTTCTTCGCATCCTCCGGCCCCGTGATGCTCGCGTCGTGCCTGAAACCAATGTCGCAGGGTGCCCAATGAGGGATGTAGTCGGGGTGCTGTCCGAACGTAGCTTTCGCCTTCCCGAGCCTCTCTGTGACGACTTTCGCGGCGCGGACGACGGATCGTCGATGATCGAAGGAGCGATGCATGGCCGCGACGAGTGTGGGCTTCGCCACGAGGTCCGCGAAGTAGTAAGCCTCGTAGTGGCTGCGCAGATCGTCTCCCGCCATGCGCATTATCCACATGCACGCCGCCAACAACAGCCTGAAGCAGTCAGCCACCCGGCAAAGACGCTCGTGTGAGATGAAGTCGCCGTCGATGAGCGCCCCCATTTGCACCGCCGCGCGGAATGCATATGCGACGCAGATGACGGTGGACTCCTGGTGCGCCGCCATGTCGTCGTCGTCCGGTCTGTCCTCGATGCTGGCGTCGCCGAACCACAGTGGCAGGTCCATGGACAGATCTACCGTGTGAGCGCAAACCACCGGACTCACAACGTCGCACCACTCCTCGCCGTACCACATAGCACGTGCAATGTCCGTCGCAAAGGATTCCAGCGAGTACTGGAAAGCCACATGGTATCCCCTCAGGCGGTTCCCGGAATTGAATACCCAACCGTGCAAGATGCGCAGCGCCACGTTCTCCACTGGCGCCGCACGGGAGATCACTTGCTGCAGCTGTGATTGGTCGACGATCCTGCCTACGCGCGCGCTGGATTTCGGCATAACAACGCTCCGAGGGACGGTAGGCGGTGGAAGACCGCTGGCGATGGCGACGAAGTACTCTCTCGTCTCGTGGACGATGTTGTACAGTCTTCACCCCTCCCCCGTCGTCCAGAAAGCTTTGTCATCAACCCAAAGGACGACACGATCGATGAGGTCTTTTGTCATGACACTCCTATGTACCCGGCTTGAACCGGGCTCGCCAGCCTCACGATCGCCTTTCCTCTCGCCACGCGCCTCCTCTCTCGTCGTCGCCCTAACTGCTGCCTCCTCCCTTGCCATCGCAACGGCGGCCACAGCGCTTGAACCGCCCGCCCCCGCAGCACCTCCCTCCTCGGCGCCCACTGCGCGCGCGTCCGCCACGGCTTCCCCCCCGCCGCCGCGTGGCACGAACCCTCCATTACCACCCTCGTTGCGTTGACGTGGCTGACACGGCGTGGCGGGCAGCCTACCCGAGACTGGCCTTTCGTTTGCAGCAACGCGTACGGCCACCTCCGGCGGTGGGGTCGCTTTTGTACGAATGCGAATGCGACGTCTCTCCAAGGGCTCGTCATCATCGCGGCCAAGATCGACGACGGGAGCCTTCACTATCCGCGTTTCGCGGCCACGCAGCTGCTGCGCCTCGGGTGGCGGGGTGAGCATCCTCTTCGAAGCGGTGTGATCTGAAGAGCGGTGTCGACTGCTCTCGCGCACTTCAGACGTGGTCACCTCCACCTGCTCCTCCTCTGTCGTGAACTCATCGTCGTAGTCCCCTTCTGCTGCCGTCGCCCAACCTTACGCTCCACGACGAGGCACCCCTGCTGACACATCTTCCGTACGCAGCCTCTTCGCTTTCGGGGCCTGCCGCCGCCCTCTTCCCTGCCCTGGTTGTCGTCAACGACCACGTCGCGCTTCTTCCCACGGGTGTTCCCTCGCGTAGACATGTTTCGTGGTGACCTTTGCAGGCGAGCTTGGCGGTGTGATCGGATGAGCGGGAAGTGTGGCCGACCTGGCAGAAAATATATCTCCCAGAAATATGTCTCCCCTGAAAATTGTCTCCCCATTGGCTTTGGCGTAACGACGACAATGTGTGCGTGGTACACAGAAGATCTGCCCTCAGCGGGAAGAAGACGTGACGACGACGGATACCCCTGCGACGCAGGAGATCTGTATTCCGCGGGAAGAAGACGACGACGTGCACGTGGTAGACAGAAGATCTGTCTTCCGCGGGAAGAAGACGTGACGACGATGGACACCCCCTCGACGTAGGAGATCTGTCCTCCGCTGGAAGAAGACGACGACGTGCACGTGGCAGACAGAAGATCGGTCCTCCGCCATACTCCGCGACGTGCAGGTGGTAGAAAGAAGGACGAAGACGACGGCGAAAAGACTGGCGGCGAGAAGAATAGAAGGTCGACGATCACAGTGATCCGCGGCGAACAGGCTTGCACCACTTCGTCGTTGTTGCGGGCGATTCGCAGCAGGCGCGGCGGGCTTCTGTACTGGAGACACCTTCACGGCGCGGACGACATACAGACGGGTCGGGATGCGCACGACTTAAGTAGTCTCTCGCAGATGGACCTCCCGCGACGTCGCTTCTGTGTGGCGGGAAATGACATCGTGGACGGTGGCACGTGCGACCGCCTTGCCGACACTGGCATGTCATTTCGATCCTCCCGAAGGAGCGAAAACACCCTTCGACGTCCCTAGCGAGGCGCGTCAATTCACTCGCCAGGGACCGAACCCCTCGCCACCCCATCGCGTCTCCCCCTCGCAGCCACCAAACACCCCCCCGCACCTCGAGCCAC